TGAGTAGCAGAGCTGGGGCTCTAACTCAAGGGTCTGACTTCAGAGCCCCTGCTCTTAATGGACCACTACCCCACACATATTTGAGGCTAGAGGCTACCGGTGCGTCCTTGGCTCTCAGTAGGTGAAAAAACGTTGACCGAAAGACTTTTCTTAGACCACATCCTCATTCGAAGCTGATCCATCTTTGAGATTTGAACTTAGAGCGCCCTTCTCCAGCCATAATTTCTAGCTCAGGCCAGGTTAGTGTCAGGGACACCTGTTGCTCGGGCCCACGCACTTCACCCCGCCCACTGTGGGTACCAGGCCGCCATTCTTGGTCCTTCTCCAGTAGGAGAGAAGGGCCATTCAACCCTCTCCTCGGTGGTGCTCTAGATCCCTCCGTCTCCTTCCCGGAGCCTCTAGGCTGGCAATCCCATTCTCACTCTCCTTATTCTGAAAAAAAATGGCTTTGCGTGGGGTAGCTACGTGACGGGCTACTCTTCCTCTTCGAGCCTTCGTCCCTTCACTTAGGAGTGCGGGGAACATGGGATTTTAGCAATGAGGCCACCCAAGGGAAGCACTCAGCAGGGTGCCGGGCACACAGTGAGGACTCAATCTCAGTGGTTCCCAGGTTACAGAGGCTTCTGAAGAATCTGAAACATCCCCTAAACTGAAGCATTAATCTTTGATGGGAGACTCAACGCAAGCCGGCCACCCTTTTGCCATCTCTTTGGCACACGTAAGTTATCGGACGTCTGTTTCTGGCTTTCTTTTCCCCTAGCTGCTTAATTCCTCCTCACCCCTTTAGTTTTTAACGAGCGTTCCTTTATCGCCTCTTAACACAGCTTAAGCATCCCGGGAAACATTTCCTACTCGAAGATCTCTCTACCACCACACTTGCAAACAACCACTAGCAGGCAGAGATTTCCTGGAAAAAGCACGGGAGGCAGAATCTTTATCCCACCAGTCACCAGGCGAGTCACTAACCGTGCTGTCATGCTTTCTCGTCTTCAATGGGGACAGCAATTCCTCCTCACAGGGTGCTGCAAAATGAAATGAGGTGGGGTATTTTTACAAGCAGTTCAATAATTATACATTTGTTCTTTTGTTCATTCATTCCTCCCTTCCATTCTTGATTAGCAGCTCTAGTTAGAAAGCGGCCAACAGTCTGACTCCAGAATCTAGAGGCAGAGAAGGAGCAAATGCAGAGCAAGTATCTCACCTCATAAATGAAATTATCCATCACCCTATAAAACTGGAATTTTTGATCTAACTCATCCTTCCATATTCTTGGGTATAAAAACCAGTATCTTAATGTGACACAGCCAGTGGTCTCAGACACACTTTACGTTGACATGAAATGATGCAATGACTGTTGGGTGACTCGTAATAATTCAGGAGAAAAATTAATTTAAGCAGAACTGTGTCAAGAAGAGGATCCCCTCACCAGTTAATACAAGTGCAAACTTACTCTTGGAGACAAAAGATGGAGAGAATTTAATTCAACTCCCATGAGGCTAAGTGATTTACTGACAGTCACCAGCTTTTGACCTAAAATTTAGTAGGTATATTGCTCTAGGGAAATAGACCATACCAACTCATCAAAGTTTGAAGACAAAGAAATAAAATATGAAGAATAATATTAGCAGCAAGGCATGATTATCCTTATTTATAGATGATACAGTTGTATACTGGCACAACCAATCAACTGAAAACTCAAAAAGTTTGGATGTTGGCTGTATCAAAAATAATCTGTAACAATAGGTTTTTGTTTTTGCTTTTTACAAATAGCCAGTTAGAAACTGTAACATCAAATACCAAGGAATAAATTTAGTAAGAAATACCCTACCCCCTGAAGAATAACACTCTCATGAGGGATATAAGACTTGAATAGAGACATAGTCCCCATTCTTGCAGAAGAACATTCAACTTCATAAAACATGAGGTATTCCTGAACATTGTATAGGGCAAATGCAATGCCAATACAACTCCCAAAAGACTTCAAAACTTGGGGAGAAACTAGGCGAACATTCTTAGAGTTCACCACAAAGAACAATTGTTGAGGAGAAACATGAGCAATAAGCATTGACCTAAAGTATTAAGGAGGGCCTCAAAAGTTAAAATATGCCAGTATAAAGCTCTAATGATTAAAATAGTAGGATGCAGGGCCACCTCGCTGGCTCAGTCGGTAGAGCGTGCAACTCTTGATTTGGGATTCTAAATTCGAGCCCCATGTTGGGTGTAGAAATTACTTAAAGATAAAATCTTTAAAAAGAAAAAAGGAATAAAGAAAGATAGGTAGATAAATAAATAATAGGATATAAATACAAGAAAAGACAGAACAATGGAAGTCCCAGAAGTACTGAGAATTTAGCACGTGATACACATGATATTTGAAATCAGCACAGAACTTAGATGATTTAGTAGTATTGGGATGGCTAATTTATCAAGGAAAATATGAGTTGAATTGTGTCCTCCAAGAAGATATAAAGTCCTAACCCCTGGTGCCTATGAATGTGATCTTCTTTGGAAATAGGTCTTTGCAGATCCAATCAAATTAAGATGAAGACATACTGAGTTAGAGTGGGCTCCAATCCAATGACTAGTGTCTTTATAGAGACAAAGATTTGGACACAGAGACACACAGGATAGAATGCCATGTGACAAGAGGCGGCGGCTGGAATGACACAGCTAAAATTCAAGGAAAGCTGAGGGTTGCCAGTTACCACCAGAGGCTAGGAATAGGCAAGGAAGGATCCCTCTAGAGCTTTCCAATATAATCTAGCCCTGCCTCTGAATGGTGAGGCTGTACACTTCCATCGTTTTAAGCCACTCGTTTGTGGTAATTTATTATGGCAGCTCTAGAAACCAAAATAATAATAAAGCTGGATCCCTACCTTAATGCTTACACAAAAAGAAAAAATCTAGAGGGATAAAAGAATTAAATGTAGAAATGAAATAAACAATGACCCCCAAATAACACAAGAAAATGTGGGTAGAAGTTTGTATCTTCTAGGGAGTTTCTTTAAAATGGAAGGAAAAGATGAAAAATTTGACTTTATAAACATTAAAAAACAAACAAAAAATAACATTTTAAGCATCTGCAGGGTAAGAGATAAGAAATTATAAAATAAATGTGTAACTCACGACAGACAAACGATACGGTCAATAAAAAAAAAAACAGCGCCCAAAGAAATGCACAAAGGACAAGATTAGGCAACCACTTAAATATAAATACCTAATATATAAAACATGCTCAACTTCACTAATTTTTAAATAAATGCAAACGTAAGTATTAAAATGGCTTACCTATACAACTGGTGGAAATTAAAACGACTGCTATCCTAATTAGCTAGGGCACAAAAACCATGTAGTCTATTCACATGTGGCTGGAGTATCTATTATTAGCACAATCCTTTTGGAGAGAAGTAACTTGTCTATTTCAATTATTTTCATATTTTTGCTTTTTCCTTTTCTAACTTGTATGCTTTTGTCTTATTTTTTATAATTTTCATACAGTAGATTAAATTCTGAAAAGAATTTTTTTATGGAATATATATACTCATATATTAGTTAAAAAAGCTGTTAAGACATTGTTTCCCAAATAAGTGAGTATACTAGTTTCACCAAATCTCACTAGTATTTACTACTACATTTTTTCTCCCACTAATAGAATAAAATAGCACCTCATTTTAATCTGTACTTTTAAGTGAAGGGAAATGTTTCTCCCTGGTTAACTTACAGAAGTTGTATTTTTAAAAAAATTCATTGGTCAATTAATTCATTTGAATCTTAAAATTACTATCCTCTTAGTAATTCCCAAGAATTCCTTGTGTAATATAGAAATTAACTCTTGGCTTGCCTCTCTCTGGGGCTCTCTCTTCACACCACATGCTTCTCAGGGCTCCCACCTACTCTAATGGCTTTGACCACTGTCTTTATGCTAGAGGACCCCTCAATCCTCAAGCTCTACAGAAAATCTGCTCTTTTTCCCCCTCCCCAAACAGCTTGGAACAGTGTTCTGTACACTGAGTGCTAAATATTAAAATACAGACATAAAAGGACCATTTTTAAAGATTACATTGTTTTTAGGACTATTTTAAAGATGAGATATGAGTAATTAGAAAATATAGTCTCAATGCATGGAAACAGGCAAATGCATAAAAAATACTAGGTTAACGGCCTGAGTGCTTGAATAAATGAGTACAAAAATGATTTTTAAATACACTTTATTTACAAGTCTCTAAATGCAATGTTCCATAAAAAATATCTACATGTTTCTATTTACATATTCCTTATTAAGTCTATATGATTTGAATTAGATTTTAAATTCAATTTTGGAAAGCTTTCAGGATTTCTTCTGAAAGTGAGCATTTAAAAATACTATATACATAGTGGCGCCTGGGTGGCTCAGTCAGTTAAGCATCCAGCTCTTGATTTTGGCTCAGGTTATAGCTTCAGGATCATGAAATCAAGCCCCACATCAGATTCCGTGCTGGGTGTAGAGCCTGCTTAAGATTCTCTCTCGCTCTCCCTCTGCTCCTCATCCCCCCCACTCATGCTCTCATGCTCTATTAAAAAAAAAAAAATATATATATATATATATATACACACACACACACACTATATAGATAGAGTTCCAAAAACAAATACCAAGCTGAGACACAGAAAAGGAAAAAAATCTATTCTAGGTCTTGGAAGTGATTAGAAAGGACCCTGGGGTATCTCACCTACTATCATAAGAAGCAGGGTTCTTAGAGTTTTCACTGTTAACTAACAGCCTACCTAGGTGGAAAATTTCAAATGTGACAATGGTTTGTTTCTTCAAAGCCTTTGCAGTTTTCAGACCAAATGTAACAGTGCCGAAGAGGCTCTTGGCAATTTATGTAAACCCAGATACTCTTACTTGGTTAATAGCAACAAAGATACAATTTCTCAAAGAATGATCCTTTCCTGAAATCAAAGCAGAAAACCTGTTTGGGAAAAGCCAATCCTTCAAAGTTGTAACATCGTCGTTGCCCTTAGGAAAACTCTTTGGAATCTGCCGTCAGTCTATATAACCAATCAAGGATTCCTTACCACCTTCGTCCACAAGCAGATCCACTAACACATGCGGCTTGTCGTAACCAAAGGAGGTGGTAGTGTTTCTCAGCACTACGCACTCCTGTCCTTCGGTCTTTAGTTCAGTTTTATTATTTGGGGAAAATTCTGAGTCAGATAAGAAGCTGTCGGATTCCACAACGCCACTATCAGAACCATTTCTGGAGTGATAGGAGTTTAAGGTGACGACACAGGGTTCAGACTGGTTACTATTTGGATGGACAGAATTCTCTCTCATTCCTGGGGTCAGAGGGCTACCAGGAGCCACGTCAGAAGTATTTTTTTCAGTGGTCACCACTTCTATTTCACTGGAAACGTCTTCTCGGTGTTCCGTTTTTCCTAGGTTGTCTTCAGTGGGCGTACCAAGCGTTGCTGGGGACAAGTGCTCTTCCCAGATCATCTTCTCATTTTCTGGGGCAATCGGTTGGTAGGTGATGGGTGATATACATTTTGATTCAGATTTTGTCTCTGAAGAGGCATTTTTTACCACAGACAGCTAAGGGAAGTGAAACCAATGATTAAAAATAATAAATTATTAAACTCAAGTATACATCCTTAAGAAGACATGGTCTAAGGGTAATGGACAATGAAATATACCACTAAATGGCAGATTTATGGTAACAATATAGTAGCACCTGGTGGTTGCCTTGCCTTGCTTTTTAATGAAAATATACTATATTAAGTGCAAGTGTTTTTAGGATTTTTAAAAAGTCATCCACCATCTAATTAGGATGTGTTGCTTTTTCTCCATTACCTCCACATGTATGCACGTTACATTTGTAATGGGAGTACACCTACTTATATAATATTTTCACCTTTTGCCTTCATAATTATAATTTTTATTAGAATTTTCACTGCCTCATATAATTTCTTTATACTGATGATTAAAGTAATTTCTCTAACAGTGCATTTTGAAGTGTTTCAAATTTTTACTATTTATAGAACATGTTGAAGAGATTATCTTTATTTATGAAGATTTTTTTAAAGAATAAATTCTTTTTTTTTTTTTTTAAAGATTTTATTTATTTGACAGAGAGAGACACAGTGAGAGAGGGAACACAAGCAGGGGGAGTGGGAGAGGGAGAAGCAGGCTTCCCGCTGAGCAGGGAGCCCGATGCGGGGCTCGATCCCAGGACCCTGGCATCATGACCTGAGCCGAAGGCAGATGCTTAACGACTGAGCCACCCAGGCGCCCCTAAAGAATAAATTCTTAAAAGTAGAATTACTCAGTCATAGGCTGCGGCATTATTTATGGCACTACTAAACTCTATACCCATTAAATGCTTACCTTCCCACCATGGCTGCATTACTTTCACCAGTATACACCAGTTTTACTACTACTGGTACTACTGGATATTCAGGTTTATTTTTCCTTCTCTAGTGGGTTGCATACTGCAAGGTTGCTTTGTGCTGCTTGCTTACTTATCCTTAATTAGTAAGGACAAATACTACATTTCATACATGAATTATCCTTAATTAGTAAGGACAAATACTACACTTCATACATGAATTATCTACTACTGATAGTTTTTCTTCACTTCACTTAAGGTAGTGTTTTCAAAACAAACTGAAATGTGTCCTTTGCATGTTACAGATATTATTCCTATCCTATTTCATTCAAACAATTACCATCCTGTTAGCTGTATATGTTCTTTTCATCATACAAAGGCTTTTAAATGTTGACATTAAAAGGTCCAACTTCTGGGGCGCCTGCATGACTCAGTCAGTTAAGCATCCGATTCCTGGTTGTGGCTCAGGTCATGGATCTTGGGGTCCTGGGATGGAGCCCCGCATCAGGCTCCGTACTCAGCGGGGAGTCTGCTTGAGGATTTCTCCCTCTCCCTCTGCTCCTCCCTCTGCTTACGCTGTCTCTCTCTCTCTCTCAAATAAATAAATCTTCTTTAAAAAATGCCAAATTTCTGGTCTCACTTGTGGCCATCTTTCCTTCTACACTCCAACCATAATGGTGTTTCTGTATTTTAGGATTTTCAAACGCCATGCTTTCTTGATGCTGGGCTTTGGCACATACTGTCCCTTAGTACCTGGATAAACCCCTGTCTGCCCTCTAGACGCTCAAACGTCACTGTTGAAGGGCCACAACGACGCCCCACCCCCAACGGTAGACAAGGTTCTCACTGGCATGGATGTAAACCTCTGTGTTTGAACACTGTACACCCACTGAACGCTTATCTTCTTCTCCCACTAAACTTGAAGATCCTTAACAGACTTATCCAATTATGCTCTTGTTCGTGCATAAAAAAGGACACGATGTGTAGTAAAAATTATGTGGTTTTGGATGTGTGGCAGATTGAGTGATTTATGATAGGTGACATGCTGCTGAACCTCATTCTACTTAAAAAAAATTTTAAGAAAATTATTGAAAAGGTCCAAATAAACACTTTAGTGTAAATAATTAAAGAAAAATATTTAAATATGTTACTGGTAGGTGATGGGTGATATACATTTTGATTCAGATTTTGTCTCTGAAGAGGCATTTTTTACCACAGACAGCTAAGGGAAGAGAAACCAATGATT